CATTCCAAACTATCTCAAACCCAAGGCCTTCCCAGCTTCACTTTGGACATATTGGAGCCACACCTGGAGAACTAGGATCCCTAATATTTGCTCCCAAGTTATAGCCTGAGCGGGTTGGTTGTGTGACYGACCTTTGCTATCTCCTGCAGGTAGCTGTCAATGAAGTCCCGGCTTTCAGTGGGCTGCCAGTCCTCCTTGTGCTTAGCAATTATGTTGAGCATAAAATTTTTCAGCTGCTTCCAGATTTCAAGAACGGTGTGATGGGGCCCAGGGATGTATTTCATGATTCTTGGGAAAAAGCTGTAGAGCTTGGGACAGGAGAAGACAACAGCACATGGAAGAGAAGACCGGAACAACCTTTGTGTCATCAAAACATTGATGAATTACTGCTCTACAACTCTGCAGGCAATGGATCGGTGTCCACATGGCTGAGCAGGCCGGGATGCATTACCTGGCTCATCGGGTGGCTGTGAAGCACCAACACCTTGTCCAGCAGATGCAACAGCTCTTGGAAGCGCTCATTGTGATATTCAAATCGTTCTCCAAAGGTGATGGAGCAGATGATGTTGGAGACGGCGTTATTGATCTTAAAGTGAGGGTCAAAAGGATGTCCTGGAGAACAGGAAAATAGAGGAGTGGATTCTGTTGTAGGTCCCAGTTCATAATTGGTTTGATAGGATTATGTAAAGCAAGAAGTGCGGAAAGAGCTAAAGGCCTTTGGAAARAGTGGAGCTCGGAGTGCTCACACTTCTCAGGAGAGTTCAAAGTGAGTGGTGTTAAATACTTGCTACAAATATTGCTTTGCCTGTTGCCTCCTCACATTAATCAGCTAATTTTGAGGTGTTTTAGCAGACAGCAGCATGCAGGGCAGTCCTCTAAGTGTGGCCTCACCCTGCTCTTCCCCGATGGCRTCCGTGAGGTACCGGCACTCCTCCTGGATCCGCTCCCCCAAGCTCTTCTTGCCCAGGCCAAAGTTTCTGAGCGTGGTCAGGGCAAATCTTCTCTGCTGTTTCCATAAATGCCCATTAGAGGAGATCAGCCCTGGAATAAAAGGACAAAAAAATATCCCACCGTGAGGTAAGGGAGTTCCTGTTCTCAGGAAGAAAAAGCGTTACCTCTGCCATTTGCAATGGCAGAGCAGCCAAGGGCATTATGGTGGTCACAGGCAGTTTCATTCATGGGCTCACAGGTGTTGTGCAGGGTCCACCTTTAGACTTTCTGTCCCAAATACACATGCTAGATGAACTCACCGCGTTGGCTAAAGAGTTCAGTTTCAAGAGGGACTTCTGGTNGTCCTCCTTGTGCTTAGCAATTATGTCACGAATAAAATTTTTCAGCTGCTTCCCGATTTCAGGAATGGCTTGATGGGGCCCAGGGATGTATTTCATGATTCTTGGGAAATTGTTGCAGAGCTTGGGACRGGAGAAGCGAAGAGAACATGGAAGAGAAGAMYGGAACAACCCTTGTGTTATCAAAGCCTTGTGTCTGCTAAGTCATGTTGATGAATTACTACTCTACAAGACTGCAGACCAACCGCAAAGGAGCAGCCAAGGTCTTGCACAAATTGGTGCCAACGTGGCCAGCCCTGCCGGAGAGCTATACCTGTGTAACAGGGTGACTGTGCAGCACCAACACCTTGTCCAGCAGATGCAACAGCTCTTGGAAGCGCTCGTTGTGGTACTCAAATCGTTCTCCAAAGGTGAGGGAGCAGATGATGTTGGAGACAGCGTTATTGATCTTAAAGTGGGGGTCGAAAGGATGTCCTGGGGAAGAGGAAATAGAGGAGTTGATTCTACTGTAGGTCTGAGGTCAGGACTGATTTCATAGGATGATGGAAAGCAAGAGGTGTGGAAAGAGCTGAAGACAGTGGAAGAAACAGTGGTGCTCAGAGTGCTCATGCTTCTTAGGAGAGCTCAAAGTGAGCAGTGTTAAATACTTGCTACAAATATTGTTTTGCCTGTTGCCTCCTCACATTAATAAGCTAATTTTGAGGTGTTTTAGCAAACAGAAGCATGCAGGGCAGTCCTCCAAGTGTGGCCTCACCCTGCTCTTCCCCAATGGCGTCCGTGAGGTATCGGCACTCCTCCTGGATCTTCTCCCCCAAGCTCTTCTTGCCCAGGCCAAAGTTTCTGAGCGTGGTCAGGGCAAATCTTCTCTGCTGTTTCCATATATGTCCATTAGAGGAGATCAGCCCTGGAATAAAAGGACAAAAAAATATCCCATCGTGAGGTAAGGGAGCACTCGTTATTGGGGTGAAAAAGCATTAATTCTGCCCTTTTCAATGGTAGAGCAGCTGAGTGCATTTTTGTGGTCACAGACTGCTTCATTCAGGGGCTCACAGGTGTTTTCCAGGGTCCATAGACTTTCTGTCCCAAATACTTTTGCTGGATGATGTGAACTCACCGTGCTGGCTAAAGAGTTCAGCAGCAAAAGGGACTTCTGGTCGATCTAGGAAGTTTTCCCCATGCTTTACCAGCACCTCCTTTATCATCTCAAAATTGTTGATGGCAATGTAGCTCTTGCCAGCCACATCCGTGCTGTAAATATCCCCATATTTTTTAGTAAACTGGAAGAGAAAAACAAATGATCAAAGGCATGGCTAACAAAAACAAATGATCAAAGCCATGGGTAAGAAAGTTCAGTGGAGACGAGACAGAGAGGAAATCCCAAGCCATGACGCCTTGCCAGCGACATGAGCAAAGTCACAGTGAACATCGGAAGTTCCATCTGCATATGAAGAAGATATTCTAAAGCCGCCTGCATGCGCCACTCTGCCATGTGCTCTAAGTGTCCCTGATAGAGAGTGGGGAGAGGGGTGGACTAGTTTATCTCTAGAGCTCCCTCCCAACCTCAAGCAATCTGTGATTCTGTGTGATTAGGAAAGTCGGGATTAGGAAAGGAGGGATAATGGAGAAGGTATATATTAAAGTCGATGATGGATCGTGGAAAGGCCTTTTCTTTTTCTCATCCTACCATGTCCTTTGCTCAGAAACATGCCAATGTTTGCATCTCCTCCACACCCGGACAGAGGTTATCCCAACATCGCACTGCCTTCCTCTGCCCTGGATGGTCTGTAGGGCCTCCTGCTCACCTGCTGGCTCCTTGTGGGCCTCTTTGATTTGCATTGACCCTTTCCCCCCACTCTARGTGTCATATACCCACCTAGCCCCTTCCTGTCAGCCCTTGGGTCTCTTTGATTCTCAGGACTCTTTACCTTTTCGATCCCTCTCAGAGGGTCGGCAAAGTACATGTAGAGGATATTCCCTGGAAAGGGGAGGGAGAAGGGTCCCGGCGGGAAGTTTTTGGGCTTCCTCTTCTTCATGTAGTCAGCGATGAGCAGGAAGACGACGAGGAAGACCAGGAG